ATCTTTTATTGATGAAATTAAAATTTTTTGGATTTTCATAGTCTGTTCTAAAGAGGTTGTCATCTTATTTATCTGGTAGAGTGTAATGTTTTGTTGGGCCTAATGGCGATAAGTCTGAATGGGATCTAATTGGAATAGGTGTACTGTGGTACGATAAGGGTTTATAATTGGGTCCTTTGTTGTTCTTCCTTTTTTAAATGATTTGAGAAGTGTTCTTAAGCATTATGTTGATGATTTACAGATCTATGCTCACTCTAGTCTTGATGAGTTGGATGAGAATATCAATCGAATTAATAAGGATGTTAAAGCTGTCTATGATTCGGTAAAGTCTAATCAGCTTTAAATAAATTTTAAGAAAAGGTATTCTAAGATTATTGGTTCCTCTTGGAATATAAATTGTTTGGATTTTAATACATGCCCTCCAATTAAGATGAATAACATAGTGATTCTTTATGTAGAATCTGTTAAAAATTTGGGTTTTACTTTTAGTCAAACTTTCTTCTGAGATTAGTATGTTGGATTAATTTGTAAAAGTGTTCATGCAACACTACAACCATTCAAATCAAATAAGAACGCTCTTTCTATCTAGCATAAAACTCAAATAGTCTTATCATTAATACTTCCTCACTTTAACTATTGATGTGCTGTTCAGAATCATATGACAGATGAACTCAACGATAAACTTGAGAAACTCCTCAACTCGTGCATAAGATTTATCTTTGATTCAAAGAGAGATGTGGATATATCTCCATACTGGGAAAAGCTAGGGTGGTTAAAGACGTATATTATTTATTGGTTGCTTAACCCTTGTGGTTCTGAATAATAAAATGCCTCTTAATTTATTTATTAAATTTATATTCAGAAGTGCAGTTACTTCCAAATGTCCTTTAGAACACCTCGAACTGAGCAATATAAGAATTCTTTTTTGTTACTGCTGCAGACCTATGGAATTCTCTTCCTCGTTTAATAATTACAGTTAATTCTAGTTCTTTAATTTCAGATGATCCAGTCTAGAAATATTCTGCTCACCGCAAGATGCCTATCGACAGAGAGTGGAACACTAAAAGTTGTCTTGATGAGTAAATCTAAACCAATTGTTCCCTGAAGCGCTCGCAAATTCTTTACAAAAGTTCAAAAAAAATTATTTTTATAAATAAAATAATATGTCAAAATAAAGTTCTAATTTTCTTACTTTCTTCTAATTGAGAGATGTACATCAGTGCTTTTTAATGAGATACGATAAAAATAATGGTACACAGACAAAATGCAAATAGATTAAAATTTTGTTGAGTGATAAGCGTTAAATCCTTCCATAGTTTAATTGTTAGTAGTAAAATAAATGATCATGGGAAGGTGAAGAATTGAAAAATGTAGCAATAAAAAGAACTTTTATATGTATGGTTATTATGTGAAGATAAAAAAATTCAATTATAATATTTATATTTATAGTCCCTTATCATAAGGATAGTTATCATAAAATTCTTTTATTCCTAACTTTTCTTCCCCCCGAAAGCATAAAATGAGGAAGTTTGTATTCTACAGAGAAGGATTTCAGAAGTTTTTGTTGAGTGTGAACGTGCCGATGCTAAAGAATATAATAATTCTTGAGAAGTAGCGATTTTCTTACTCTGCTTCTAGCTAAATATAGTCTTAATAATATCAGTTGGGGTATATTTTTATAGTATATTAAAATTGATTAATGCTTTAGATTAATTAATTCTAAGTGGCCATATCTTTATTTCTTTACCGTGTTATGAATTATGATTTTCTTAAGTTGATTATTAAAAATGATTGGACTTTACAATATTGAGGCAATGTTGTCAATGATACTGCAAGTTTAGATGCTGTAGAGCAGGAAATATTTTTGTAACAAAATTTACGAAAAAAATTGTCATTTTATCGTTATTAATTAACTCGTTAATACTAAATGACTGAACCGTTTAAAAAAAATTTATTTTGTAGCTCCCATTTCGACAAAGTAAACCGAAGGCTACTCAAATTTTATTAAAATTACGTTGTTTATCTCGAAAAGTTTCATAACAAAGTATAAAGTTATGGCTAGTTTATTGAGTCATTAAAAGTAGGTATACTGTAGAAAATTTAAAGAGGTCAAGTAGTCAGTTAAATAGTTGTATATTATTTACTGTAAAAAGAAAATAAAAAAGTCACTATAACTATGAACTTTGAGAAAATTCTCGATAATTGTTTATTGCTCCATTGCTTCCATAAGATTAATTTTTATTCTCAATGTTCTTTTTGCAAATAACAGAAGTAAAATTGATTTCAGATTAATTTTTAAAAATCAAAAGAGAAAAATTCTACAATTGTAAATAAAATTCAAAAAAATAATAATAAAAGTATGCTTAATTTTTTATTATACTATTGTAAATTATCACTATACAAATGCTTTGGGTAATTTCCTCATTGACATGAAAAATATTTTAATGTTTCAATTGTACATTACAAAGTAAATTACTTTTTTTTGTACAATGCAAAGTGAATTAAGAAAAAGGAAAATTCGCATTTTTCGCTCCTTTTAATAATGACTCTCGGAAATGTTAATAACTCCCTCGGCTCATGTATAGTGTTTTATAAAATTGTAGTCTTTTGTCTCGAATTAAGGACAGAGGTCGCGACACAAAACCTAGGTACCAATTATCTTTTGTTGAAATCGGACTCAGTATTTAATCTCTCTAACCATTCCTTTAAATTCTATTAATGAGTATAAAGACCGTTTTTGCTTGAACTAATTATTGCAGACCTATGCTTGCAATTGTTAATATTGAATTTTAATTAAAAATTTAATTATTTTTATAAAATTTTTTATATGAATAACTCGTTAATGTAAATTATTAAAGAAACAAAAAATATGATGAATCGAATAAGTTATCATTGGAATAATTTTTTGTCGTAAAAATTGCAAAAAAAAAATGTAATAATTTTGTAGAATACTCATAAAGAAGTACGTTTCGAAGTGGTTCTACTCTTGGTCTGATTGGAGCGATGTTGTTTACGGTTTAATGGCATTGCTAACGCTCTCGTTAAAACGCTAGGACTTAAATCGGAAAATTTAATTGGAGCCTATTAAGTTTCAGCTGATGGACCTTTCATAATATTTATATTTTTTAAATTGTTATAAAAGTTTCTAAATTTTATAAAAATCTTTATAAATTCTAGACGATGTGTTTAGTTTATTGGATCCGACATTTTTAATTTTTAAAATCTAATTTAAGATTTGTAATCAGTGCCCCAAAAACCTCCAAGTAACAAGCTTCAGGCGAATATTTCTACTTTTTAGACTTTTGACCAAAAATTGGCAAAAAAGATAAAATACTTTGAGAATCATGTCTGAACAGTTTTTGGAGTCGCTGATTATGAATCTGGGTCAGTTTTCAAAAATTCAAAATGGCGGATCCAATATGGCGGACGAATTTTTTGAAATTGGTCGAATTCACTTACAAACATGGCTTTCTTCACCGAATTGGCTTCCCTCTCTTAAATGAACTTTATTTTTCTTAAAATTTATTACTTAAATAATTTTTACTAAAAATAATTCATATTTTACTACAAACAAAAATATTGATTTTATCGCGATTCAGTTAAATGCTTCTCTCCTAATAGATATTCCCTAAAATCTTATTTAAATATTCGTGAATTTATTTGCAATTCATTTAAATTTATTTGCAAGTGTTACGTCTCAATAAATACAAACAAAAACAAATTCAATGAACAAGAACTTTTTCTCCGTTTGAATAAAAGTAAGAAGTGCCTCGTTAATAGAATCACAAATATAACAGGGTATCTCAACGAGAAAGTTGCTGAAGAGCTTTCATTTATAATGCATTATTTTCTGCTATGATTTTTTTTTTTAAAGTTTAATTTAAATTTGTTCTTTTCTCGTAATTATTTATGAGAATAGATTCTTTTATTTTATTGAATCGATATTGATAACCATCTTCACTTGTTTGTCCTCTTTTTCCTTCGATCCAATATAGCTTTTCACTCATTTATTGAGTTTACGACTCACCTATTCTAATCTGAAATTATTGAATTTTTTTGTAAAGCTTTCAATCCTTTTTCAGAAAATCAGTGCCTTGTTTTTTATAAATATTTTAACACATTTTTGCGCAGTTTACAATCGACAATAGGACTCATATATTTCTTTATAGAAGAAATTTAACCATTTATAAAAATTTTATATTTTAGGGACTTAAAAACTTTTTTCACAAGGAAAAATTTTAATTCACTTTTAAGTCCCGATAGTAAAATCAAAATACATTTGTTTCATGAAATAATTATTTATTGTTGTAGTTACATTACAATAAAACTTAGTAATTAACAGTTTATTATATACAAAAATTTGTACTGAAAATAAATATTTTTAATTAATAAAGAATCACAGATTACAAAGAAAATTAATACCTTTTAATAATTTCTGTTATATCATCAATTGAGGTCACTTTGAAAGTTCAAGCGCAAACAAATGCCATGCAATTCGTAATTAATGAACTTATTCCCAAGTATTCAAATAAGAGGAAAATAGTTACGGTCAACTATTATAATTGAAAATTCTTAATTTTTTTTGCAAAAATTGAGAACATTTTTAGAAACCTGTGCTATACACTTAAAGACAATTTATCACAAGACTAAATGTTATTTTGACAAAGAAAAATTGTTCATGATAAAAACATTTATCTACTTAAGAAATGTTTAATTTGTGAACATTTTTCTTTAGAGGGAAACATTCAAAAACTTCTGTAACAAAATCAATTAATCTTCAAAGAAAATTAATATTCTAGAAAGAAAAAGTAATGATAGAAGAAAGTAAAATTATTTCCTTATACCTTTTTACACGATTAACTACTATTTGGATACTTTTTTTTAAAGAATTAAATTATTTAAATAAATTCTAATGTAATTTGTTAATTAAAATTTAATAACTATTTTCAATACATTATTACTTACATTTCTTGAATGAATTTAATTATTTTCAGAAAATTTTGATTTAAAAATTTTTTTTCCGTCTTTAATGCTACTTTTTAAAAATTAATTGTTGAGAATGAAAAAAATTTATAGAAAAATCGGAAATAATCTTTGATTTTGTAATAATAGGGTAAATAATATTTATTACATTCATGAAATTAATTAGATTCTTGTTACATAGTTTGTCCGTTTGAAGAAATATTTTTTAAACTTTTTTTTCTCTTTTCATTAATTCGAGAATCCAGCACAGCTGACAGAGAAGGCAAAGTTTGTTAGCAGGCGAGAACTCAACCAAAACTGAAAACAGTATATTGCTCTGCCCTGAAGCAACTCTGTTTCTCTTCTTTAGCAAGTATATGGAAAATATCTATCCATGGTCTTTTACAAAAGAGAAGATGAAACACCCAACTAAAAGCTTTTACAAATAAATGTAAAATTGATAGAAACTTTTTGCGAGATACTTTTCAAAAAGTAAGCTCTTTTAACTCTTTAAGCAGATCTAAACATTCTTTTACTGTATAGTAAGTTCTTTTCATGAATAATAAATTGAAAATTTTTAGTTTTAAATTTATTTTACCATTTATTAAAAAAGAGCAGGAAGCTATTTATATACAATGATTTAGTAAAATTTTATTCACTGAATTAATTTTCGAAAATTATATATAAATTCGATAATTGAATGAAAATGACCTCTAATGGAAATTTATAGTTTCATTATAGAGCGCTCGAGCATATTAGAGGAGTCTGATTGCAGTAACTTCATATTCGCAGTTGTGATTGATGTTTGCAGTATTTAGTACGTTGAACTGGTTTCATGTTCCAGAGAACGGAACTTAATGTATCTTCATTATGTATTGTATGAATGTCATCAATAATTATGAGGAAATTTACATAGACTTCCCGGGGTATAAAAAATTTTTCCTTCTTTCAATTTCTTTTTAATGAGGCGAAAATAATTTTCATATTTACATGAATACGTATTTCACCTTAGGTTTCAAGAATTCAAAATGTCGGATCCAATATGGCTTATGAATTTTTTAAAAATTTACAAGATTTACTTGAAACTTGTTACATAGGGGTTCCAATTCTTAGCGTTGGATACGTGTCAATACTTTTGTCAGTTCTTGATCAAATTCTTTGTCCGAAAAGACAACAAATTTTTTCTGGCAATAAGCAGTTACAAACTCTAAAAAAATTAATTAAAATTTTATAAATAAAAATTATTATATATGCAATTTACAAGATTAATATTTGAAAAAAATAATTAAAGATAATATTATTTACCATAAATGAATTCGTAAAGTGGTGTTCCTTTAAAAACTTTTTTGTTACCCATTTGACATTTTAGATTAAATAAATTAGCAACATCTTTGCTAAGAATCTTTTTCATTACATATGTAATAGATCGAGAGAGAACGTTTTCTCTATCAATTTCGAGCACCAAAGATTCACTCTGTAAAATTTTTTGCATTTAATTTAAATATAAATAAATAATTAAAATTAAACATTTTTAAATTTTAATCATTATCTACTTACAAACTCTTTTTTCAAAGAATCATTTGTTTTTAATAATTTTGTTAGTTCTTCTAAATTTTCCTCTGTTGTCACAGGTAACATGTTATCAAAAAAACTTGGAGTCTTCAAGTTTTGAGTTCTGTAAAGTATTTCTATTGTCGACTGTTGAATACTATTCTGGAGTTCTAACTCTTTTATTCGCAGCATCATATTTTCAAGTTCAGGTTCTTGACTGTCCTCTCGCACTGGCTTCGTAGTAGAGCTCTTTTCTGAAATAATAATCATTAATTTGTGAAAATTTATGATAAATTAAACATATTAATAGTCAGTCATTTTTAAAATGTGTTGTATTTTTTTAATACCTTAAATTTCATCTAGATTTAAAAATATTTTTTAATAATACAGGCTTCACAGTCTGTCCTGATAATAATGTATATATGGAATTCCGCAAGCTAACAAAAAAGTCTTAGTACTCATGAAAGATGAGTGTAATGGACGAATAATAACAGAATTTGTTGGCTTAAGAAGTAAAATGTACAGTATTCGTGTGGAGTAAGAATTTTATACAAAATTGTTTAAAATATGAAGGTAGAATAATAAAAGAAGCAATTTTAAAAGTATTTTTTTTTATTATTTTAAGTCTTTAAATATTTATTTACTTTTTACAGTATACTCTCATAATATTTATTTTTATTCAAATTCAATTTCATGAAATTGCCCGCCAATATATTTTAAACGCAACTTTTTCGATTCCACGGATTCTTTCATCATTGTGAGGGAGGCAGGATCATCTTCAAATAGTTTTACGAACCTAGGCGGAAGAAAAGTTGTAAAAGCAGCATTCAGGTCTACTGCAATCTTAGGACCTTTTTTAGTCTGCACCTTTTCTATTCTAGTTACATTGTATAACTCATTCATAATCAACTCAGAAAGCAGCTTGGTTGGTAAAAATGTCTTGTTACGCCCAACAGCGTTGACTTTTTGAAAGTCCATTGTTTAAATATCTATAAGCAAAGAAAAAAGATGAATTCTTAATGTTGAATTTGAAAAAACAAATTGAAATAAAAATTAATTCAATTAAAGAAAGAAAATTCATTTATTACATGAGTAGATGCTGTTGTAGATGTTAAAGCCTCTAAAGGTGTTGGTACTACGGATTCTGATAGAGCTGCTGATGATGATGAAAACTGAAACAGAAGTGTCGAATCGTGGATTCCAACCTACCTTACATCTCTTAAACCCCACTCTTCTTCAACTCCCACTCTTTTATCCCAACTTACATTCAACTTCCACTCCTTACCCCCACTTTAACAACTGCGCACACAAAAACCCCCACTTTAAGTTAAATTATTGCGGAAACCTTTTATAAATAAATTATTTTTTTTATCTTTATTTAACAAATTTTTAGGCTCCCCTAAAAGTCCCCTTTTTTAAATTTTTAGTACCCTATTTCCCCTAAAATACTTTTTAGGAAGAAAATACTTTTTAGGAGCACTGTGAAGCCTGATAATAATAATAAAATTTTGCTTTTACCTGCATTGTCGGCTGACTGGTTTGAAGAAGAGCTATCCGTCGAAGATGATGAGACATTTCTTTCAGATCCTTCTGAAGATTTCGAGTTTTCCATTTCAAATTTTTCAGTAAACAAAAATTTTATTTGAAATATAAATTAAATTTAAAGTTTTCAAAACAAATCTTTTACTAGGGTTGTTTTCAATAATTTCTCTAAATTAATTATTATAAATAAAATTATGCGTCTAGCTGATTGGATCCTTGCACTAGGAAGATATTGCAATTATTGAAAATAGTGTTATGTGTTTATACATATTGATGGTTTATCTAGATAAGTTCTTTTACATTGATAAGACTGGAAAAAAATTTAGTTTCGTTACATATTAAACGTATGACATTTCTGATAATGATTATTATCAATATTACATGAATTTATAGTTATCTATGAATATTACAGAATGTTGATAATACATAAGTTTATAGTTATCTTTAGTGGTTATATAATATTGATAGTACGTAGACTTTTAAAATAATACACGCAATTTGATAATAAACATAAGGATTAAGTAGATTTTTGTGAACAATTTTTATTAGAGTTAGTCCAGGGGAGATAGCCATAGTTTTTTTTATAAAGGATTGTAAAAATCATAAAAAAAGACGCTGGTCTTGATAATTTTTTAAAACAATTTTTAGAGGCGATTATCAAATTTGAGCTTTTTTCATAAAATTGGGGCTTTTTTGGAAATTCCATAAAATATTTGAATTTAAATAAATATAGAAAATTTATTTCTTTATGTGTTTAATGTATTTTTGAAAAAAAATTGCTTGTGCTTGTTTTTGAAACATCCTTCTCCAGGGGTGGTATTCGTTAAGACTCGTAATTTATAGTCACTCTTAGAAATAGATTTTACACTTGAGGTTTGAAAGGGTTGTCACTGGAATTACACGAACTGGTGGCATTTGAGACGATATGCAACTATACTTCTCTTACTGTTCCTAAAACTGCTATTACTACTAGTACTACTACTACTACTATTACTGCTACTGCCTTTGCTTTTTGGCGATGGCCCTTTTATGTATGTAGTAGAAAATACATTTTACCACTGGGTACAATTCAGGAACTAGGTCAAATACTCCAATGATTTTTTTTACTCTTGATCAGCTTTTTGAAAAAATCTGCTAAATCCATTCTTTTTCTGTAACTACCAAAATATCTTTAAATATTCTTTAAATGATGTGGTAAATTTAAATTCGTGTGGTAAAGACATATTTATTTATTTTATTTAATCATTTTTTAAAATTTTAATTACACTTTCTTTTAATTAATTAATTAATTAATAGGGGAGTGTGTCTACGTATGAGACGGGGGTTTTTTTTACCCATAAATCGTAAATGGATAAACGAAATTATTTATTCAGATAAATAAAGATTTAGAAATTAGAATAAAATTCGAGCTTAATGTTTTAAAGTTGAACAAATTTTAAAAAAATTTGTTCGACTTTAAAACATTAAGCTCGAATGATTTTTCACCTGAATTCCTATTTTACATATATAAAAGATAGTAGAATACAAGAGTTCGCCTTTCCATTTATATTTTTCCACTTTGTATGGATGAAACTGCAAAGTTAAAGGACAAATATACAAAAGTTGTAAAAGTTAGAAGTTACAAGGTAGTTTGTAAATCGAATTTGGAAGTTAGGACACCACCATTTCTTTCACGACTTATCAGTCAAACTGCACTTCTCCAACTAAGGAAATAAAACTTTTCAAAAGAATCAAGTTACACATTTCGCCCAAATGTTTTCCAAGAAACAATGTCGTTTTTGACAGAAACATAATTACAAAAGAATTAAGTTTTCTCTTTCTTTTCTCTTGAAAATTTTTGTTATAATACTATAAAATAGTGAGTAAATAACATTTCAATTATTTTTTATAAATAAATACCAAAATTATTCGCTGAAATTCAAATTATTTTCAGGAATTTTAATAAAATTCGTTGCAAAATTCAATTATTTTTAGGAATTTTAATAAAATTCATTACAAAATTTAATTGTTTTTATAAATAATAATAGTCATTACAAGAATTCAATTATTTTCAAAATTAATAAAATTCAATTTTTTCAAAGATTTTATTAAAATTCGTGGCAAAATTTCAATTATTTTAAAACATTTTTCTCAATTGAATGATTTTCAATATATTCTACTATTTTTATAAAATTTTCAACAAGAGAATTTAATTATTAAACAAAAATTTTGATAAAATTCTACACGAACATTCAATTATTTTCTAAAAAAAATAAAGATTTCTCAGTAATTCAATTATTTTTACAAATTTTCAAATTCCTTTTAGGGTTTTAATTACTTTCATAAATAATAAAAACATTTGGAAGAAGTTAATTATTTTCATAAATAATACTGTGAATCACAAGAATTCAAGTACTTAGAAACAATTTTGACAAAATTCTATACGAATATTCAATTATATTCTAAAATAATGAAAATTTCATAGGAATTCAATTATTAAAAAAAGAATTTGCATAAATTTTTTCAAAAAAAAATCAATTGTTTGAAACTTTTTTAATAAAATTCTTGACAATAATTTAATTATTTTCATAATTAATGAAACTCTTTGCCGAATTTCAATTATTTTTATTACAATTTTAATCGAATTTCTCGAAGAATGTAATTATTCTTAATTTTATTCAAATTCGTTAAGAGGATTCAATTATTTAAAAATTTTTTGATAAAATTATGTATAAGATTTCTATTTTAAGAAACATTGATGTTTGTATTAAAATAAAATTGAATTCTCGTAGAATTTTTTAGTAAAAATTGATTTAAAAATTAATTTTAGTTAAAGTTTTAGATAATAATTGAATTTTTGAGAAGTTACTAATAATTAGAATTTTTAGAAATAATTTAATTTTGTAAAGGTTTCAAATTAAAATCTTTAAAAATATGAATTTTTCATACTTTTAATTAATAATTCCATGGAACTAATTTTTTTTCAAAAAGCTTAATCGAAAATTTTCAAAATTATTTCAAGTTTCTATTTTCTAACATATATATTATTAAAGGATTTCCAAATAATCAAAATTCACTCAAATTAAATAGTAAATTAAATAATTAAATTAAATTAATAGACTTGAAAATTTTCAAAAGAATTTTTTAAAAAATTAATAAAAATAATTAATTTAAAGAAGAATTTTATTTTAAAATTGTAGAAAATAATAATTAAATCATTTTCTAGAATTTCTTCGTTAGTAAACATTCGTTTAATAGGAAATATTGAGTTTCAATAAAAGGAATAAAAATACGGATCAGAAATTTTTATCTTTGAATATATTTCCAAGGTAAAAATATGTCTGATCAGTATTTTGTATCCGATTTGTTCATTATTCATTATTATTTTTCCATTATTCGTTATTATTCTTTATTTTGTTATTATTTATTTATTTTGTTTTATTTATTTATTTTATAAATATTATATTTTATAATATATTTATTATATTATAATCTCTGTTATAATAAATAATAATAATTATTATTTTGTTTTTATTTTTTTATTTTATTTTTTCATTTTGTTCACAACTTTCTTAGTATTTATTCTTTCTAAACATGTTTATTATATTAAAACTTACATTTACAATAAACCTATAAAATAAAAAAATGTTTAAAAAACCAAAATGTACATCCTGAGCACTATGGCATCCGCTCTTTAATTTTACGCTACATTTTGTTACTTGCAAATGCAGGAAGTTATTCTCGAAACTCAGCTCATGAAAATATCATGTTTAGTGAATTCATAGCAGGAAGGTGGTTTATAATAGCTTAAGACAGATTATTAAAGACCATTTTGATTATAATACAGTTTTGATGCGATGTGCGACATAATTGCCACGAAAATATAGTGGCGATAGATATTTAATTCATATCGTATTAGAATATGTGAAATATATTTTATGACATAAAATTATTTAAATTATTTTTAAAGGTCAAATGATGTATAGAATCATCTATCATAGACTGAGAATTTTCAATGTTGTCATTAAATGCGGTCAGTTCGATTAGATAACTCAGGAGGAAAACTACCTTTTACAGAAATCAATACCCTATTGTAGAAATTGAACATAGGTCTTTGACAATCGGCTATTTCACTATCATTACCAATGTACATTGAAAAAATCATTTGGTTCAAATAGAAGGTTGCTACCATATTATAAAATATTTATATCTCCATAAATGTATCTGTCCAATAAGTTATCATTTGAATTGATTAAATGGAATTTTTCCCACTTCAATTTTTGCCACTAGTAATGTTCTTTTGATTCCAATAAGGATTAAATGAAAACTTGATACCTAGGGGTTTTTCAGGTCTCTGATTACGAATCTGAAGTCAGATTTTAAAAATTCAAAATGGCGGGCGCGAATTTAAAAAATTGATGGATTTTTATGAAACTTGGTTTCTAGGGGTTTTTGAGGTCGCTGTTTACGAATATGAAGGCAGATTTTAAAAATTAAAACTACCAGATATCAAAATTCATAAAAATCCAACAGATTTTCAAATTTTCGTCCGCCATTTTGAATTTTAGAAATCTGATTTTATATTCGTTATTTGCGACCTCAAAAACCCTTAGATACAAAGTTTTATCAAAATACATCAATTTTTAATATTTTCGTCCACCATTTTGAATTTTTTAAAATCTGACTTTATATTCGCAATCAGAGACCACAAAAACCCATAGGTACCAAGTTTCATCAAAATCCATCAACTTTTAAAAAAATTTCTAAAATATCATCAATTTCCAAATAAGTTTGTCATTTTCGATCCTCCATTTTGAATTTTAAAAATCTGACTTCCAATTCGTAATCAGAGACCACAAAAACCCCTAGGTACCAAGTTTTATTAAAATTCATCATCTTTTAACAAAAATATTTTAAAAAATCATAAATTTTCAAATAAGTTTGCCATTTTTGATCCGCCATTTTGAATTTTTAAAATCTAACTTCAGATTCGTAATCAGAGACGACAATAACCCATAGGTACCAAGTTTTGTTAAAATGCATCAAGTTTTAAGAAAAATACTTTAAAAAAATCCATTAATTTTAAAAAAATTTGGTCGTCATTTTGGATCCTCCATTTTGAATTTTAAAAATCTGACTTCTAATTCGTAATCGGAGACAACAAAAACCCATAGGTACCAAGTAATATTGAAATTCATTAACTTTTAAGAAAAGTCATAAATTTCCAAAAATTTCGTCCGCCATTTGGAATTTTTAAATACTGACTTCAGATTCGTAATCAGAGACCACAAAA